TAGTATAATAAAAGCTAATGTAGCTTGAACTCCTAGAAAGGTCTATGTGCAAATTTGATTTATTTCTCCCTCAAACATAAAGAGAACTAATTTTCTTCTACCAGACTATAAAAAAGAAAAGAAAAAAAAGTGCTTGGAAGGGTTCAACTTTAATGATTGCCTGATTGCAGGGTTGTTCTCAACACAGACACGAAGACCAGTGAATGATGATTACTTCTCTCTGTCTTGAACATGAAAGAAATAAATGATATGGTCATGGTAGATAATGACACACTCAATTGAATATAAGTTATCTCAACTATTTATCTATTGGTGTTCAACAAATAGCTGATGTTAATAGTGAAGAATGGCAGGAATTCTAAACAGACTGGATGAGAAAGAACTAATATGTTATAAGATTTATAGATTTGTTGATCTAAGTGGTAAAAAGAGTATAGTTTGTTGGAAGGGACACAAAACAGATTTATAGAGTGGTTGATCAGAGGGGAATTCTAAAATAAAGAGTCTAAATGTTGCAACGGATACTAACTGACTTGTAATTCATTATTAAGCAGGTTTGAATTTCTGAGATTGTACCATGACATATGAACAGGATCAGTGGCAAGGTAAACACTCTACTATGCATAACCTTCATTGAAATTCCATTAAATGTCTGATTGGCTTAGAAGTAGAATTCATGATTAATGTAGAAGTAATTAATAAGGTCAGCTGAGAAATGGAGACTTTTCTGAGTTTTGCTGAAAATAGTATACACGTTCCTTTAAGATGCATTAAAACTGCAGAGCCTGGGGTCACAGCATAAATTGCCTGTATGGTACCCCACCTCTTTATAAAACTAGTTTAGATGCAGAGCACATGATTTTCCTTTTCAATTGATGTTTCTGTAAAGTACAGACACTTGAAATGAAATGGGTTTTATCACCTTTCTGTTCTGCTCTCGCCGGAAAAATGAAAACGGGCATACGGCATGCAGTGTGCTATGAGGGAAATTTTTCCCGGGACAGCAGCGCTGTAGCCTACTCTTATTTCAAATTCTGTCAAGGGTTCTTTTACGTGCATGCCAATGTGTACACGGGACCTTGTTGTTTTTTTCCAATCCGAATAACTGAAAGTTGTCCCTTGCCAGGCCTTGTTTTTTTTTCCAATCCGAATAACTGAAAGTTGTCCCTTGCCAGGCCCTCTGTCCTACATCACTGACAAGGGAGAACCACGTCGGGAAATCCTGATGAACTTTTTCGGCCAATGCAGGGATCGAACATGGGAGCTCAAGGTTAGCGAGCCAATGTGATACTAACTGAGCCACCGTGGCTCCTACTTTATAAAGTAGTTAAGTGACTAATAAATTTCTACATAATGTGGTTGAAAAAAACCAACCTGAAATAGTTATTTCATTATCGCATTATATACTTAATATAACATTTCGAATACTTTATTACCAACAGCTAGTAGTTGGTGTTGGATTTTACTATAAAATGTCGAGTTGTAGAAAGTTTGGCAAGAAACAAATGTAAGAATGAACTGCCACAAGTCTGCAGTAAAGACTAAATGTATCTTTTTACCCATATGGTATGCCAGTTATATACAAGTATTTGATTAATGCTCACATCTGGGGAAAAATTCCTGCAATTTCTAATCTGTCCATTCCACAAATTTCCTGTTTTATATATTGTAAACTATAGTTATTGCTACTGTTTAAATGATATATTGATTTGAGGCGCCATATATTACTTTTATTTCATGTTTTTCTTTTACATCAACAGAAGGTTACCTGTGAAAATCATAATGCCATAGATAAGATTTCAGCTGGAAAAACACAGATCTTTGGAGCATAGCGTAGTTCTATTCTAGTTAAACATATTTACTTGTTTTTTATGTGTGAAATAGTTATTTTCATAACAAGTGCATGTATTACTATTAACTCAGCAGATGGTAATTATCGTAATTTAAGCTTCAGGTGAATCATTTCCGTTTAAAAAAAATTCTGCTGCCATTAGGTTCAAGTTTTAAGATTTGCAGTTGAGCTGTCACATTAAAATTTCAACAAATTACCGCAAATAGATGTATATCATATGCCATTTCATTAAAGTATGAGCAGAGGAAACTAATGCTAGGAACTCAAGATCAAAGATTGGATATTCTGAAATTCTTCAATTTTAAAAGAAAATTGCTCATCATCCGAAACATTTGGGAATATTGGTAAGATATGTCACTAAGAGGAAATTTTCTCTCTTAGATCTATGTATACTCATAGTCGTACGATATGTATGTAATAGGTAGTTGATGCCAAGACAGGGAAAGCAATTTCACGCAACCGACTTGACCCTATTAGATAATACTGTCTAATAAATAGCTACTAATAAGCTATTCTAATAGTAAGAAAGAAATCCAGTCTTAACAACTGATGTACTTAATTAAGTGACCAGGTGAAGGCGGTCATCTATCAACCACTTACATAGGATTTATCACACACTTTAACCCACCTTTCATGAGGACTAGCTAATAATTATAGGTTGTTTAACTTAACAAGATGGCCACTCTGGTAAAGGAAGCGTGATATTTATTATATGGGTTCTGTTTTCTATTCAGACATTTTATTTACATATGGTATTGTTTATGTCTTGTATTGAAAATGCCTTGCAGGCACCCTCAACAAGCCGCAATAAACATAATAGTAATATAAAAGAGGGTGTGAAAAAGTGCTTTGACATTTTGGTCACCTTCAATTTTTTTTACCAAAAAGCATTTCTTAAATCACAGATGTGAACACAGACATATCCAATAGTAAATGCTCATTATTTTGTTCTACATATATATTTAAGCAAATAAAAAATAGTTGCAACCATTTAGAATTGTTTTTAAATAATCAGAAAAAAAGTTTGCATATGTTTCTAATGTTGAAGTTGGAATTAATTAAATAATGCTTTGAAGATCTAGCCGAATGTTATGATACTAGAACACTTTGATTTTGTTAAGTATCTTAATAGGGGTACCATTTCAGTAATGCAAAAGTATTTCTTTTTCCCCATGGTCTAATTTCAGTCTATGGTTCATTAAGAATTTTATTGACAAAAATCATCTAAAAATTGAACAGGTCTCTAGTTTTAATTTTTGTTGTCTTAAGTGCCATGTCATCAATATTTCTACTTTTGTATTATAGATATGTTGTATTTACAGTTGACTGAAAACTAGGTGATTATCTTTCTTACACCTCAAATCAGATTACCCCAGTAACTCTTTTTTTTTCTCCCTCAACTTTAGTTTCATGGCTTGTTTTAATTTATTTGTCCAGAACTTGGGAGGATAATTGCTTTAGTTGATTTGTTTCTATAACCTGTAGACAGTTACGCTGATAGAGCATGTTGTAGTAACACAGGTGTCAGCTTCTTATTAGAGCTTCCAAGACCACCATGATAACCTAGCTCCCTTTGGGATTTACATTTAATCAGACAATAGTCACTCACAACAAATCCTGTGGAATTACACACTACAATTACATTACAAGGACTTTCACTGTAATATATGTCTTAGACCTGATTCTAAAGACTTTTCTAGAAAGAATGACACAGACAGTTAATTGATAATTTATCTGATCAAACATAGTGCTTTAAAACTATTGTGAATCTAAGTAAATGTAATTTTTTACACCATTACTTACATATTTAATAATTTACAAAGATTATTTAATGATAAATTAATTATTCTCTTGATTAGAAATAGAAATAGTTAAGTATTAATGCAGGAAACAGTCTAACACCAGAAATACATGCAATTACTGATCTCAAAGCAACCTTGGATTCACAAACCGATGAAGGATTAAAAACTGAATTAAACCACATTCATTTTTAAGTGGAAATGTTGTTTTAATTTATACACAAAGCTTTTAATTTAATCATATAATTACTAATTTTATATTGAATTATTGCTAAAGCTGCCTTTTTATATAATCAACAAGCCAATTTATCTAATCTAATAACATTACCAGTTAATATCTTTACTAGAACCAGCATTTCCCATCAAATTGAAGACAACAATAATAATTATTACCATTGATTCAATTGGCTTTTTGTCCCTCTCTAATCAATGGTTATATTATAATTGGTGGAGATGTTTATCTTTGAGGGTTTTAGAATGATCATTTTATAACATAAAACTTTACAAACATTGCCTTTTTTAAAAATCCAATTTCGTTAAAAAGTTTGCAAATTCAGAAAGCATGCTTAGTTCTCTATTGATTTATCGATAAAAAGAAATGACATGACATTTTGTGGTTATTGATGCATGCACTATTTTGGTTATATATGAAGATACTAGGAATATCCATTGTCTGCATTCATGTATGCAACATCCATGGCATTAAAATATTTATATTCACACAAAGGATTACAAACAACCTTATTCCTGCAATTAAACAATGTGCCAATAAAATTTTACGATGATACAAACATATATGCCAAGTGAATGGAACAATAACAATTCCTAAGATTTCTGATATTACTGTCTATCATTTGAATTTACAAAATGATAACTCATGATATATGTTTTAAAAAGACAACTGTAATTTCATCCTGTAAAAGTTCTAAATGAAGATGAAAAATTTACTTTGTTATATGATATCACTATGACAAATACAATTATAAACTAGCTACGGTCCAATGATTTTGAATAAAATTAAAACGCGTCTGCTGCCTTTGATAGATACATCATCCAGCTGCCCTTTTTCAAAATGCACATTAGCTAAATTTTCCAAGATAGAAGTGATATTAAAGAGTGGCTGTTAATCAATAATATTATTAGACCAGACTTTGTTTTTCATTTCTGCTGCATTCACTCACCTGAGTGGGATGGTTGCCAACATGTCATTACGGCAATACAAGTCTTTGTTCATTTTATTTTTGGTTTTGTCACTGGAACCTAGATGACTCATGCATGCCTTAATCCTGCACGGAACTCTTGTCAATTAATACTGTTATCTGTTGAAATGTAAAGCCTGAAATGTCATTATGTAACGTTCATGCATAAAACGCTTCTATAAAAGTGTAATTCACTATAGCATAGCAAGACTTACTAGCAAAATACACACAAAGAAATGTTTGAAGTGATCAAACTCAATTTTTTCTAGGCTCTATGTCTTATGTTCATGGCACTGAGAAATAGTACTGGAGCCAAAAAACGATCTCTCATGATTTATTTGTCTAATGACTTACACCACAAAATGTCTGGATGGAATAATACAAGAGTCCCATCTTCATTAGCCCAGTTTAAGAGCAGAACAGTAGGACTTTAAACCCCATTTCATTTGATACAAGAGTCACTAAAGCCCAATTCCCACTGGCTTGAATCATAATATTTGGATTTAATCAAACTGTATCCTTTTCTCGCTCTCCAAATAAATCTCTATCTTCATTTGCCCAGTTGGTTTAAACAATATTTTATTCAATATAATTACATATAATTGTAGAGTCTAAAGGATACGAAAACAAGCAACATGCTTATCAATATCACTTCCTATTTCCCCAGTTGATGCAAAAAAGTAGGATGTTAAATCTCATTTCAATTCATTTTCTCATATTAGTCTTTTCAGAGTCACCATATAAATTGTTATATTGAAGTAAAGATATGTTCTTCAGTCTCTTTTTGAATTCTGGAATAGTTCCTTCTTCTTTCACATATTAAGGTAGCTTGCTCCAAAGGACTGGTGCTGCAACAGAAAGCCCTTGTTCCAAAGGACTAGTGCTGCAACAGAGAAAGCCCTATCACCACACTATGTGAGATTTGTTCTTGGAATATCAAGTTGTTGTATATTTGACGACCTGGTTGATCTTTGATGGGATTTTATTTGAATTAGGTCCTAGAGAAAGTAATGATGGTAATGAAACAGTAACTGCCTTTTTATATTGTACTGAGCTTTCAAATGGATTGAGTAATACAGATTTTACGGAACAGTATAATTAAATATCTTTGGAATTTGGATCGAGAGAAATTTTTGTTCAATGGTTCGATTATCAAAATATTTTGTTTGACCTAGCAAAGTTTACCCGATCTACAGATATTGTATTTGATCGATGCTAGTGGGAACCCGGCCAAAGGGCAGTATTCCCAAACAAAGATTAATGTTAATCTGTATTTAAGAATTCTCTACTCCATTTCCGAATTCAGTCCTAATCAACCTAGATATTAACTGGGAATGGAACTGAAGATTATTTGCCCAGTTTCTTGTATGGAACTGTAAAACATAACCACATTTGTGAAAAAAATACAGCTTAAAAGCTTACTTGTCAGTAAATTTCATTCATTTATTCTTGATAATCCTTGTTTAGCAAGAATGTTGTGGCTGTGGCTTTCAGAAAGTACTTCAATGGGAAGCATTCACTTTCTTCACTTTCAGGAATTATGAGTATGATATACACTGATTATATAGATGAAGTTAATCGAATCTGAAAGTAGATTTTAGCATTTCATGCATCAATATAAATATATGCCTGGAGGGGGTTTCATTTATCGGTAGGCTTATTTTTATATTTCCTTATCCATTGGTTTTCTATGAAGAAAACCAGACAGTATAATCCAATTAATACTTTCCTTAATAGAAGTTAAACTAAATAGCCAGAGATAATAGCTCAACATAAACTAAAGTATAATTTAGAATTTTTTACACAGGGAGAAGTTGGTTTTTCACCTTTGTGGAACGATAGGTTTTTTTTTTTTAGGGATAATAACAAGGTTTAGTGCGCAAATTGGCGATAAAATTAAAAAATCATTTAACAGTTGGAATTTTGAAAAAAGAGGAGAAGCTATATATGATTGTCCAAACATATAAATTATCTTCCTTAGCTTTCATATTGATTATATGTCCATTCCAATGCCAATTTAGCATACCAAGTGCTTTTGATATTTCTGTTAATGGGTACACCATAAAAGAATATATTCACTGAAGAAAACAATGAGATAACATATTATGCATTCTACATTATATTTCTACATATTGCTGGAGACTGTTTTGAATTAGACATGGAATAATATGATATAAACACCACATGGTAGATTCTGGTACAAAGGTTATATCTCAAGCTTGATTCCATGTAAACCATGTGTATTCTCTACAGACGATCTAATTCAATATTACACATCTTTTTTGTTGATTCTTTCATAAAGACCAATACTTGCTGAAATTTAATAAATTGTTTAAGGTTGTTCTGTGTTTAGTCTGGTATTTTGTTTGTGGTATAATTATAAGATCATTGAAATAAAGAATTTACCCATGGATTTTATTATGTGAGTCAGATAGTATTCAATTTAACTAGAAAAAATGTTTGAATCCACCTGGTCAGAGGTTCTAAGTGGATAATATATACCAAAGAAAATAAAATGTGGGGAGGCCCAAAATCAGATTTTGTCATTGATACCATATGGTTGAAAGGTTTTTAATCTTATAATCCAATGAAGTTCTATGGTGCATCTATTAGCAGTAGATTTGGAAAAGTCAAGGTTGGTACCTAGTTGTTTAATTATCTGACAGTCGAGGTTTACGACTGGAGTGACTTGGTAGGTGGAAGTGAGAGGCAACTGGGGTGTCTCTTTCCTGGGTAATATCAGCATAGTGTTTTTTCAGTCTGATGTGGAACAATCTTTTGGTTTTGCCTACATATTATTTATGGCAAAGATTGCATGTAAGTAAGTAGATTTCATTTTTACTATGGCAAGTCCAGATGATGGAACATTTTTAGGATTGCGAGAGAGAGAGAGAAAAATGGGGTTTAACGTCCACTCGACACAAACTAGGTCATTTTGGGCCTAACATATGGTTTAATTTTATTTACATAATTCGCTTGCGCGTAGGTGTCTTTAGCAGTGGGAGGAAACCGGAGGACCCGGAGAAAACCCACGAGGTTGGACAGGCGACCCTCCTCCTTGCCACGTACAACCGGGGAATCAAACCACGCCAGTCGACTCAATCACAGACTTTATGATACAGCGCGCGCATGCTAATCATTCAGCCATCCAAACACCCTTTTTAGGATTGGCCAATTTAGCTAGATCGGAATGTGTTCTTCAGTTTTAGCATATTGCCATATTGGCAGTGAGGTCATTTGCAGATAGGGTCTAATAGTGTAACTTTTCCCACTAACTTGGGGTTGAGGTGTGGGGTTCTTGATGATGGCTGAGGTTACGGCAGTCGTTTGAGCTATGAAGGATATGCCAATTATCATGAATGATCTTGCTGATGTGGACCTCTCACAGGTGCTACACCAACATCCTATTCTATACTATTCCACGCATGTCATTTCGACATTATTTCACAATCTGACACCCAACGTCATAGTTACCATCTTTTAAACATTTACAACTTTCACCTTTGTGACAAGATTTTATTGAAGAGGTGCCATCTCCTTAGACACATAAAGGAGAGACAGTGACCACAATCTTTGTCCTGCAAATACTGCAGAAAGATCAATCTACAGATGAAAAGAAAATTTCAGAAAGAGAGGCACAGTACCAAAGAAACCAAATCAGGATCCAGACCCCTTACAAAACCTGATAAGACAACACAATTAGAGAGTTGGACAATCCTAGTCCAGTCATCACCTGCTCAGCCCAAACTACCCAGGCTACAGAAGTCTCTCCACACAGGAATGCCGCATCAGAGGTTTCATCACCCAACAACAGCCAGGGCCTCTCAACACCTATTGGCACCTATCCCACGTTTCAAAAACTGGGATCATACCACCTCCCCTAGCCAACTGGTAGCGGAAACATGGAATATGGTGCGCTCCAGCCGGAGGGACATATCAAAGAACCACGACAGATCTGTCGACCGCTTCTTCATAATCACCATTCAGGAGGAATTAGAGGAAGAAAACAAATAGCTCAAGATCATGCAGCTTTTAACTCCACAACTCACCAACGATGATATTGGAATATGATATAACTAACCCTTCAAAAACTCATGACTTGTGCAGTGTTTACAAGAATTGTGTGCAGATGAACAGAATGACAGGAATGATGACAAAATACTACTATATAAAATGTGTGCATGTAAAAAGGGTGCCTCAGCCTAAATACTTTTCTTATTCAGGAAGTCCACTGTAATTTTCTTATCTTTCACTAAATTAAACTCCCATGTGTAATTATTCATTCAATATACAGATTAACAAAAGCTGCAAAAATTTATTTTGTCTTCAGATACAGATGTATCATTTAGTTTTCACAATATTAGCTATAATATAGTGTAATCAGTGTGCACTGTAGCAGGTATAAAATGTTGACTTAAACATGAATGTACACAGATGTTAAGTTAATTTGTCAAACTTTGAATAACTACATTCTATCGTATATAATCATATTACACTCCGTGAAACCTGAGGGGGCGATCTAACAATATCATATTCCTCCAATCGAGTCACAATAGGATCCAATTAGGGGTTAAATCTACAGAACTGCATGAGTCACCTCTTGCAGCTAATCAAGCAGAGGAGAAGATGATATGCCTACATATCTAAATCAATAAATATGGCACCTACTAATACTAGTGTATAGTAAAAGATTGGGAGTTTTTATGTGGAACATGTATTAAATCATAGCAATGATTATGATAGAAGTGAGACAAGAAATTCAATTAACATTCATTGCAGTCTAGCAGAAACCTTGGAAATTACACTATGTCAAGATTGGAATCTACAGGAATTTATCTGTGTTCATATAATGATAACTATCACTTGCCTTCTGTGCAACACAGTCACCCTTTCTCTTTCTAGTTTATCTTTTCATCTGAGCTCCAGTGTCTTGTAAAAAGAAACATTAGTAGTCTTGCTATGTTGTGATTTTTAACTTCAACAACATTCTGTAGTTTCTGAATATTTGAAATAAGAAAAGTCTATATGATGAGGGATGTGGTCTTTTGAACCCAACAGTATACTTAGGCTGCATTCACAATGAGATTATTACCTACGCACCCCTAGGACTAAGTGAAGGGGACACAATGACAGGTTTTGCATCATAGGTTTAGAGTTTTAGCAACCCTTTTAAATTTTTGACAAGAAATTTAATGTTCAAGTTTTATCTTCATAACTTCATAATCATATTAAGATATACTGATTTTCAGTGATTTTTTTGATCTAGACAATCATCAGAAATGGTGGTACTATTCCAGGTCATTATTATTAACCCTGTATCATTATGTCTAGAAATATGATTACTATAATTGAGTCAATACAATTTAGATGAATCACTATTTTATGTCTAATGATGATGAATAATGCCCATGTAACAATTACTGTAATTATTGTTAATTAATCCTTGAATTAACTAAAGTTTTTATATCAGATTTATTATTAACCATAATTACAGTTTGAATTTGTTGGACATTATGCTGCAATGAAAATGTCAGTATACCAGAAAGTTTCTGTTTATTACAAAATTATGATTGTTGATCATCAATTACTGAATGATTACCCTTGTCATACCATTATACATATTTAAATCTTTCCTCACCAATATTATATTTCATAATCCAATTATGTATTATTCAATAGGTTAGTCTCTTCAAGAATGATTTTCCATCAGCAGTTTTCCTGGCCAGACAATCTAAGTGCTATAACAGTACTGGTATTTAACACTTCCGTTAAGATCCAATAAGCTATTACCAGACAAACTGAGGCATCTTAATAAAACTGAGTCAGTGAAATATCTATTCTGTCAGATGTACCAAGTTTAAACCATTCTTCTTTTATGATTGTTCTGTTAGTTTGAAACATAGGAGAAGAGGGATTACTCACTTTATTCCACAATTCAACATGCACCTAAATTGGGTTGTCAGTATATGCATATGCTTTGTTGAACATCAGACAAATGATAATGCTACCACTTTTTTCAGATCATTCCAAGGTATTTTAGGTTTACGATGATCCAATTTCCAATTTTCCATCATCCCTTATAATATCATCAGTTTTGAGTCTTTAAACCATGGCTGTTAGGCCTTTACTAAAGTAAAATTAGGCGTTGTGGACGGGGCAGAGGGGGGCTTTTGTTGGGGGAGTCTTTAGATAATTTTAATGCTATAAATGCCTAAAATTAGACCCATTGCAAACTTTTGAAAGGTGGAGGGTGGGGTTTTTCATGATCAATTTCATCTCAGTAAATCTGAATACTGGTAAGCACTACCTTGGCATAATATATACTAATTTCTTTTGAAATGTATAAAGATAACAGATGTTGGACAGAGGGTAGAACTAAGTTCTTTGGAAACTAAGTAAGTTGGACTAAAATACCTGTATATGGGTGGTATTAAATTTCCTAGCAGACCACATATTCTGCCTAATGTATGACTGCCATCAAGATACTGACATTAGTTACAACTAAATAAAGAAAGATGTCAGAAACCCCAGTTGATATTTCCTGATAGCTTATTTCAATTTCTCATTTTCTTTAAGTTTAATGCCTGATGTGTCTTTTTCATTATGCTTTACAAAAGCAACCCTCAATAGAGTAAGGTGTAATTACTGTGTAAGATATACATTAAAACATGCTTATCTAAAAACTCTTCTAATAACTTTCCCAAAGGCACCCAGACGCCCATGCAATATAAGACCATTCAACTGAAAACTGAAGTTAATGTACAGTTTGTGTGCCTCTTGTAGCCTCTGGAGAAAACCATAGTTCTCGTGCTATCGTATTTGGTTTGACATGATCAAGCAGTAATATAAATGATAATACAATTTTATATACAGGTCGGCATTTTTTACTTCGTAATCTTTTGGCTTCTGTTTTAATTCTTATGTAACTATAACATTCTTTTAATTTTATGGAAGCTAGTAATTAAACTTATTTTATTAACATCCCTGCCTTATCTTAATTATAAACAAGTAGTTATTCTAGATCTAACCAAACATACTGGCAGTGTAACAAAATATGTTAATATCACAAACATAGTGGTTATGGCATGTGCGATTTCCAAACATCATGTAATGTTGATTTTTTTTGTGGCATGAGTCGCTCATACCACTGGAGCCAAAATGTCATGAGGTAATTTGTCAGGTGGTGGCTTCATGACTAAGTGATGTTTATTTTGGCAGTAAAAGATGCACCATTAATCATGTTTAAGCATTGCACCATTTCAAATTTACTTAAGAAATATAGTTTGTTATTATTATCCTTCAAGTTACTTTTACAGGGTATTCTTTTGTGGGATTTTTCTATTTTTCCCCTCCAAGACATGTTTTGTTAAAGCAATATTCTGTGTCTAGGGTGCTCTCCCTGACAATCATGTATTGTCATCAAGTCATTATGGGCGCCCTTCGAGGCTACGGGCCTGGTAAATATTTAAACCCAGATTCCCCTGCACTCAGTTCAGACCTAATGTTCAAGAATGGGGAGCTAAGCTGTGTTCACATCATGTCAAGAACGGTTCTGACACTTATAGTGTAAATCTTCTTTAATTTTATTGAGGCCAGATTCGAACCTAATATGGTATGGTTCCTTTAAAAATTTAGTAGAGTAAAAGGAAAGAATTCTGAGTAGGTTATTACTCTACATCATGCATTTAGAAGTAACATTAAAGATACATTCTCATGAATGTATTTATAGAGAGGTTATTTCTAATAAAAGTATGGCAAATTTGGTATATATGGAAAGTAGAGACAAGAAAATTCTGCATTCTCTGAAATACACCTAATCAAGTTACCTGACAAACATGGCTTCTAAAAATAGATTTTTTTATAGCTTGGGGCATATCCTCCTGAATAAAATGTTTTGAAAGAGTTTGAAGCAAATTTTGATAGAATAATTAGTTTGAATATGTTTTATATGTTCTGACAACCATATAAAGTGTAAAAAATGGGGTTTGTGATAAGCTAATTCTTATTCTTGGTAGTATATGTAGGCTGCAGCTAGTAAATATACAAAGATTTGTTGCCAGGCAACAAAACATACACCCACAGCAGTTAAATCGTCTGAGCAGTCAACAAGGATTGTCGCCTATTTATTTCTTTGTAGGTAATTTGGATAATTTAATAGACAATTTCATATAGATGACATTATAATTTCGTCGTTTTAGGGTTCACAAGGTTCTAAAAACTAAAACAAGGGTCGTAACTCTGGAAGCAATCTACAGAAATTGTTGAAATTCGACAGGCTTTTTCGTTTTACTAACTCAAATAATGCATATAAATTTCATACAGATTGGATGATAACGTTTGTCGTTCGAACGTTCACAAGGTTCAACAAAGTAAAACAAGGGCCATAACTCTAGAAGTAATTGATGGAAATTGCTGACATTCAATAGGCTTCTTCATTTCACTAATTTAAATGATGCATATGAATTTCATACAGATTAAGTTCAAGCGTTCAAAAGATTCAACAAAGTTAAACAAAGGCCATAACTCTAGATTTAACGGAAATTCGCTGAAACTCAATAGGCTTGTTCGTTTTACTAATTTAAACGCTACATATAAATTTCATACAGATCGGATAATAACTTTTGTCGTTAGAGCATTCACAAGGTACAACAAAGTGAAACAAGGGCCATAACTCAAGGCGTAATAAACGGAAATTGCTGAAATTCAAAAGATTCAACAAAGTTAAACAAAGGCCATAACTCTAGATTTAACGGAAATTCGCTGAAACTCAATAGGCTTGTTCGTTTTACTAATTTAAACGATACATATAAATTTCATACAGATCGGATAATAACTTTTGTCGTTAGAGCATTCACAAGGTACAACAAAGTGAAACAAGGGCCATAACTCAAGGCGTAATAAACGGAAATTGCTGAAATTCAATAGGCATCTTCGTTGCACTAATTTAAATGATGCATATCAATTTCAAACAGATCGGATGATAACTGTTGTCATTAGAGCGTTCACAAGATTCAACAAAGTGAAACAAAGGCCATAACTCTAGATGTAATTAACGGAAATTGCTGAAATTCAATAGGCTTCTTTGTTTTACTAATTTAAATGATGCATATAAATTTCATACAGATCGGTTGATACCTTTTGTCGTTAGAGTGTTCACAAAGTGCAACAAAGTGAAACAAGGGCCATAACTCCAGAAGAAATTAACGGAAGTTATTGAAATTATATAGGCTTCTTCATCGCACTAAAGCAAACAACATATATCAATTTCAAAACAATTAGATGATAAATGTAGTCTGTAGAGTGATCACAAGCAATTGTGGACGATGGACAGATGTGACGGCAATATACAACCACATTTCCACGTGGGCATATAAAAAGTATAACGATGTTACTCTTAACCGAATCTGAAAGCTTTTATCTGAGAATAGAAGATGAGGATGAGAAGTACATACATTTAAGAGCTATAATATGTAGTTCTTCTCGCTCTAAAAACATCTCAAAATTATGGGTACATGCCATTTGCATCCCCAGAATGAAACACACAGATATGATAGTAGAAAATATTTGATTTGAGAATTTTTGATGAAGAGGCTGTCACTTTAAACATGGAAATATTGATAATAAGGAAGAGATTTTGACTTGTTCCTATGATAATGACAGCTGTTATAAATAGTAAATCATGATAATATCATAAATATAGATAGTTGTAGACAGTTAGCATAAATCATATTAAGTATTCCATTGTTACCGGCTACACAAACCTGTAAATATTTCATACTATAAAAACATCAATACCAATCAATACCCTTAATCCAAAAAGAACAAAGAAATTGTTGAAAAAAGCAATATCTTTATTCTACATCATAGGTTTTCAGTGCGTCGAAAGTAAGATTTCTCAACAATTTATATCTTGTACGTCAAATTTTGATATTTTTTATAAAATTATTGAACTTTGAAAAACCATTAGTCCCTCACTAAAATGGCTATACTGATAAAAACAAAGCTTTACAATTTTAATTATCCATATTTCAGTAATAACAATGTTTTGGGGGGGTTTTTTGTGTATTTTAACACATTGTGGTTTGAAGCTGAGATATTGTTAAGAATTTTATCGATTCTGCTTAAAAATCTATATTTGCTCTTAAAACATTTTGAATGCATAGACGCAACAATTAATAGGTTTGAAATATTCTCACCAGTAGGTCCTCTATTGTCAATAAAAGTCTGAATAAACTTCATTTTTCAACAATACAATCTGCTCAATGTGTGAAAATTTGACTATAGGTAGAAAGTATGAGAGCAGCTGAGGCAGAAAGACGGAGAGAGAGAGAGCATTTAGGACTAACACTGGTTAGAACGCACAATTTTTTTTGGGTCCTAATCGCACCAGACCCTGATTAAGTCGAATATAATAAATATACAGTTTTTTCGAAGTATACTATTTGATACTTATTGTTCATAAAGTGGAATAGATAGAAAGAAGTGCAATGATTGTCTAAATTTCTGTGAATGACATTGTTATCATCATCACCATATCATCCGTGAGATTCAATACATCAAAGTACTACAGTATACTGGAAGAGTAAATACAATACCTAGAACTATAACAGTTCTCAATACAAATATACAATCAGATTCAGATAGTATATTTATACTGTATATAATAAATATTATTATCACCAGATCATAAATGAGGGTTAAGTAACACATAACAAATATACAATAGAGATAGTAACACTGATTTACACTTGTAAATTGGAATGATATTCCTGACACTACTCAACTTCCACATATATTGTCTTATCAACAAAGATATATTTTTTTTGTTACTGTAAATTGATCACCTTTGGTTAGGTACAAGAAGTTTGATGTTTTTGGCAGTTTGTTGATATAGAGTTACTTCATAGTATATGTATATATCATATATAATACAACTGTTGAAGTATGTATATATCAAATACTTGTATTTACCAACCTCTTACATTGTGTAACCTTCATGAGAAGTGAGAAAATTGAGTACATGTAGACCTATTGCCAACTTGTATTGTATTAGTAAGAATTTTAAAATTTTGTATCCTAAGCATAAATCAATCAGTAACTGAATAACACTTCAGAGAAGGTTATTTTCTGAAATGCAACTCCTCTGAAATATTCTCAATTTTATGGGGTTTCTTTTGGCATTACCGGTACATTATTAATTTCACTGAAGAACTTTCTTTGAAATTCACAAATTGTAAAAATAAATAAACTATTAGATCTGAGAATAACAAATGAAGAATTTCTATGGCTTGTGTTTAACAAAGAACTAAAACACAAATCGTGTAAACCGTCACCACCCAATGTGTCCTTAATATAAATAACACCATTTAAATACCAAAATCTTTATACCACATTGAATTACATTTTCTATAACGTCCCAACAACTTTTAGATGGTCTTTAAATTTTCTCTGGCTTTTAAATAGTATTCAATCAGAGGTATTGATAACAGACTGCACGTAATGCAGATATTATATTCACTTTACATATTACCATTATAAAAGGTAAAGAAAGCTCTCAACAACAAATGTTAATGGCGACATATGCATATAAAAAGTCAATTAAAATCTGAGAATGTGAATATTTTTCTTTGTTCTTTTAATCAATATTATCGTTCTTAATGATTGATAAACAGTTCATTTTGTTCTTGATCAATAAATGTGCTATGTGAAGTTTGCAAGCTTATACTGTGTCATATGGAATAAAGAATGTGATTTGAACAGTCAATTTTGAGATAGATGAAGTGTAGCGTTTTGAAAATAATTTTCCCTACATGCAAGCCAAAAAATAAGGTATCGGTCATAAATTAAAGCTTTTTTCTATGTTTTGAATGATATTCTAAGACACGTCCAGTACAAAATCCAGAATGTCAGGTACTACTAGTTCAATAGTGCCTGACATTTTATCTAAATTCATTATTTTCAGACATAGGAATACATAAATTATAAGAGGTAATTTAACATGACTGATATGAAATGGTAGTAAATGGATAGCTTATTTACATTGATTATTGATATGAAAATATTAAAAATATGATAAAAAGCTGTATAACCCATCTGTTACTTTATTATACCACACAATACATCACAGGTACTTAGTTTAAAGCAGCAATGTCGTTATAAATTCGTAAAACAAATCAATGACGTTCGAAGATCAACATACAGCTAATTGTATATTACTTACTCATACCTTTCTCAAATACAGTATTTAAAAACATAAATTCAGAAACAGCTGGCAATCAAAATAGTGGCTGTTTATAGGAATTGACATGATCAAGAGATAACAAGAAGGCTTAAATTTCTATATTAATATGTACATTTAACAATAAGTATGACTATGGTATGATTAATAATTAGGACAAATTATTCCGACTTGCATAGATTCATTGCTGCTTTAAGTTAACACTTATTTCCAAAAACATCTTTATTCAGTTAAAGATGCTACAATAATGCACAACAGCTATACCAATAACTTTAAAAATACCTATAATAATGTTTTTTTCTTTTCTCTCTTTCAATACTTCAGTTCTGAATATCTAACACTCAAAGCATTTCCACAGAGATTTAAGAATAAAGTTTTTATAACCACCCCAACCTTGACCGGAGAACAAACACCCATATCCTGATGTATAGTGCACTCTGTTTTTTCTTCCAGATATTTAAATCAAAGCCGACAAATACCATGACATTATATATTGTTTTAGTTATGTAATCTGTGCTGCCATCTATATAACATAGAATTTTCTCAGGATTGATTGTATGTTATGAACTTGTCTGTGTAAATTGAAATCATCTGGTTGATCACTGTTGTTATGAAAATCCATAACATCATACTATTGTGAAATTCAGCAGAAATTATTGTAAATTTGAAATAAAAATGAACTAATGATTAGGATAGACAAAGGAGGCCATCTTAAGAAATCTAATCGTGTTGCATTTGAGATAAAGGTAAATACTTGTTTTTAACAACCTCTTTTAAGCTTACATAAATTGCGTCATACTAGATTTTACTGAATAATTTACCCACCATCAATTTCTATGTAGAGTTGGTGACAATTCAATGATTTCTGCAGAGGTTACAGTGTTAATTGATCTTAACCAGTCTCAAGGCACTTAACAATGAAATTCTGTATCTGAATTACGTAACCTATTTAAGCAAATCTAGCAATCATTTTCTAATTAATTCAATATTTTGATTTAAACTTTCAGACAAGATAATTGAACTATTTCTTCTTAACATCTACAAGATTTGCATAAACCCATCTCTACCAGTAGATACCTTACAAAACCTGTCCTTGATCTTTTAAAAATAATGCACATTTATTCTGCTCACAACTGCTCCAGGATTAAACAGATCACCAAGAAAAAACAATTAACACCAAGAGATAAGGATTACAAGACACAATTGTCCATTGTAGCACTGATTATGACTCTTTCAGAACATTGATATCTCTTAACTTCCTATTTAGAATAAAATATTACAGAAAGTATTACAATTTCAGTTACTTAAATTAAAAAATACACGAAGCAATATTGTCGGGAAAAGATTTAAAATATACATAGAGAATACTTAATTTGATCGCTGAATATAGTTGGGAATGAACAATGACTATGTCTGCATCTAGTCATGTTTGACTAAATTACAAAGATAATCTAATCCTGTCATAACGTATGGATTATCAAACTATTTTACTATTACACTTCATTTATAATCTATACGACTTATTGGCGATTAAAATGTCTAAAAACAGCTAATAACCTGATTCATAATGGATATAGTTTATTATCAATAGTATTTGTGTCTATGATAAGTATTTAAAAAAATAGGTGTTGCTAATCCTTCATTATACATCTTTGTAAATCTATGAAGGGTGTTTCGAGGACCCTTAGCACCTAGACCTCCCATGTCCTGACCGTTTGGTACTTATCAATAGAGAACACATAATCAGGATTCACGACACCTACTTAAATATGTGTTGAATGGAAGATACTACTGTTTCACGAGTAGGTTTTATATTACTATAGGTAAACAGGTGAACTCGACTTATATTCAGCAGTCAGTGTGGTTCTTTAATACATCTTTTACCTATACCACATTGGTACTGACATCTTGGTATTTCCATCAGTACTCTTCCTGTTAGTTTTTTAACATGTGGAGATCTTGAGAGAATTGTTTCTCTATAGGTGTTAAAGATCGAATGCCAAGATTACACTACAGCAAAACAAGGTATGAATGAATTAATAGGAAACCATAACAAAATAGGAAATAGATATGGTTTGTTATAATATTTTTGAAAAACACTATATATCAAAGGTAAAATTAGTATATTTCAAAAGTTTAAAATATATATTAAGACATTATTATGGTAAGCACATCTTAGTATAAAACAACTTCATGAAGAATGAATTAGATTGAACAAAAAGGATGGCACAACTGTTACTACATTATTCTTTGTCAGATAAAGATGATGGTGTTAACTTTAAATGACCACCACTTAAGATAGAATTGGTCGATTTGTACAATTTTCATACAAATTATATTTGATTGTGTATGATCTATAACCCTTCTTCTGGTAAGTTGGGGCTTTAAAATTAGTCCTTATTCTAAACAAAACAGCTTATTCCAGATAAATGATGAAGATAATTGAATCACACTACATAAATCAAATAATTATCTATCATTTAATAATCTATAATTTGCCTGTAGGGTTTTATTAATGAATATTACCTGTGTTCCATTTCTTGAAATTCCATAATCCTTGAATTCAGTGAAGGTTTAAAACTTTAGAGTGCTTATACCAATATTAAAGGTGGTGGTATGTGGGGTGGGGGTGGTGAGAGACAAGACTTTGGATAAAAACTACTTACCAAAACAGTATTATTTTCATTGATGTAATTCAGTTATAGCAATAAAAAGAAAAGATGGGACAGGGAGCTTCTTGTAGTACTTGGATCAATAGCCTCCCCCGCCCCCCACAAATATGCAACTGCCTAAGTTACATACTAATTGTCTATTCTTATTTCGAATTCTAAGTATTAAGGGTTCTTTTACATACACACCAATGTGTACATGGGACCTCGATTTTCGTTTGTCCAAACCACTATATGTTGTCATTTGCTAGGCCCTCCATCCTGCACCACTGATAAAGGAGAACCACGCAAGAAAATCCTGATGAACCTTTTCGGTAAACACCAGGATCGAATATGGGATGTTGAGGTGAGCGGACCAAACACTTACTCACTGAGCCACTGTAGCTCCCAGAACAAAAGTCAAATATAAACTTTCAAACAATACACAATAATAGCATATTGGTCCAAAAAAATCCCCAATATCAAATTTACATTTCTTTTTACTATAAGAAATCTTGTTGCCCATCAGTTACTAAATGCCTCTATAAGGATATTACTTTATTGATTCTTTTACAAGACTTCAGAATCACAACTTTAACATTCTTTTATGTTTACTATAAATGCACAACTGTTTATTTTAATACTACTGTACAAGCATTTGGTTAAAATTAAAATACTTCAAGCATTTGTTTTTTAACATCAAGGTAGTTTGTTAAATCTGTTTTCTAGTCAGGTTTGTTTTAGGTTTTTTCAGCAGGCTTTACATGTAATTAACACATCATCTATCATAGTCTATAGGTTTACAATCAACATCATATAATGTTTATGTTCATCATGGAAATATCCCAGAAGTAAAACAGACCTTTTTTCTTCTTGCAAATAACTTTTGAAACTGGATCTACAAGTGCATGATGTCGACAGTCTAAACTGAGCATCAATTGTTTTTATTTTTGAGTAATATCAGCTACTATAATCACGAACTGGTGCTATTAGAGGTAATCTGTGTAGTTTCTGGCAAAATGATTACATCATCATTCAAAAAAAGGAGAGATTATTGGCACATCATTCTACCACAAACTTGCAGAAAAAGTTACTCTCAATATTTAATAACATTCAGGGGATTAATCGGTAAGTTAAGAATTATAGTGTGAATTGATATTAGTCATCTGTTCACGTGCATTAAACAATAAATACACACCTCCAGCTACACTCTAGTAGCCTGCCACCCCTTTAACAGTTAATGGATGTAGTCTAATGTGGATTGTAATATTGGACCATTGAATTTTCATAGAGTTGACTATAGAAGAGCTGTACAGTTTATTTCATTTCTTACAGGCTATACTACTGTGTGTATTATGGGGAGAATATGACATTGTGATATAAACCAGGAGTACACCGATATGGAAGGAATTTTTCTGCTACTTAGTCTGACATTTTTGGCATTTCACCTTTCAGGTAAGATTTCATTTTAAATCTAAATTCAAACATTTTTTTTTTCAGAATTATGTTCATAATTTATTACGAAAAACTACATAACTTGTAGTTTTTCGTAATAAATTATGAACATAATTCTGAAAAAAAATAAATTGTTTGCTCATGCACATTCAGTTATTATCAATAATACTGACCTGGTAATTGACATAACTTATTACTTAAATCATCTCAAATCTGTAAAATAATACCAAAAATATATTCATATTTGAAAACAATATATTTTTATTGCACCATCTATTAAACTGATTACCAACTATGGATGTCTAAATACAAAAGATTTATTTGTTTATTTTTACTAATAATTTACTAAGAGACATCTATGTTATTGGAATAAGAAATAAAGTTGAAACATCTGTAATTTATAAATGAGATGAAATCATGCTGTTTAGCTAGTTAAAGGCACCACGAACTGCAGATATATTATGGTATAATGTCTATGCTCTGAGGCATGGAACTACAGCTATTGATTTTGATAGACTAATTTGGGAATTTCGCGGCCACTAGATGTTGTCTTCTGTAAGTTACTACTTTGATTGATGACTTCATTTCCAACTTGATCCATATTTTAGCGATGTATCTATCTCCTTGTCATACATGATAATCAATGGCATTAATATGGTCAATAAGTGATGTGTGTTGATGATACATGACATGATTCTATTAAGACAATAAATACATTACACTTTATTATTCTTTCATTTACTTAGACTGTACTTTTTCGTGATATTTATGCAGGCTCATCAGAGTTGTGCAGACAACAGTTAATGCCTTATGTCAAGATGATCTAAGATTCATTAAGATTGGCTCTAAAATATAATGGAATAATTTTTAAGCGAAGAGGATATAAATGCCAAACGGTGGCTCCGAGGCTAATAGACTAGGACATGTGACAAAGTGTTAATTTCATTAGACTAAGATGAATTGTTCACTGTGAACAGAAAGAGGAAATAATCCAATTTATAATCTCTCACCAGAACATGAAAAACTAGTCTGATATTTGTAATGAGGCTTTGGTGACACTTGTCCATGTAAGTGCATTAAGAACAAAAATAATACTAAACATGCAAAGAAAAGAATTTGTTCTAAATTTGATAAAAAATATGAAATGGCGAAACAATATGTGAAGTTTGTGATTAATGATAACAGAATTTAAGAAAGATAAAGAACGCAAGAGAGAATTGCACACCATTAATGAATTCATTATTAAATAAAAAATTAGCCAAAAATATCATAAATCAATGGATGAGGCAGCTTCTTCTGGCTATAACATATTATTAAACTATACCTAATAACCTTGAAATTCGCAAAAATCCTTTAATGCTTTGTTCAGTTTATAACCTATATCATTAGGTAATAATACTTGCTCAGCTCTTAACTACAGATTTTATATTGATTTATAATCTACAAATATGGCCTGACTCTCTTAATTATCTTTAATGGAACGTCTGGCAACCGCCTGCGTACAATAAACTTACTTTAAATTCAACTTTTTGAAAGTAATCTGGTTGTCAGTGTCTTTTGTAAAATTGAATGGGGCAGCTGCCTGGTCCTTGTGGAATTGTTTGTGGCTGAATAGCAGCAACTTCCCAATTATAACTTCAATGTATAAACTATTGTATAGATCTCTCAAGTATTTAAATAATTCTGTTTTCCTAAAATAAGGACATGCATTTGAGAATAGATCTGAGAATATTCAAATATTTAGTTATGCAACTTGATTGATTTGATTATTATCAGCTGTGAGCATGCCTGTCTGCAGGTAATCACGGTATCGCCTCAATCATTCAAAGGGTGGGTGTTTCTAGGTGGTTCTCTATTGTTGCATCAACAGTGTTTTGTTGACTTACACAGGTAAAGCATTTGATTGTAAATGATAACAATTGATTCTGTGATATTTGATCTTGAAATAGAACCCACCTCCTTTCCCAAATTAATACTTGTGTATATCAGTCCCATTAAAATTAAATTGTTGTCTAACCAGCATAAACTGATAATTGCATAAAGTATTGATTATTCCCAACTACTCAGTCTTATAAAATATCCAGTTCAATACTTCTACCATGCAAAAGATAGCCACTTCAAGTTGCTAAGGGGAGGTTGGGTGGCCAAATAGTTTAACTCATGCGCTTTAGATCCCATGGTCTGTCAAGATTTTCTGGCGTGGTTTCCCCTTGTCAGTGATGCAGGACGGAGGGCCTGACAAGGACAGCTGTCTAGTCATTCGGATGAGACGAAAAACCGAGGTCCCGTGTACACATTGGCGTGCACGTAAAAGATCCCTTGACAGTTGGAATTTGATATAAGAGTAGGCCGTAGTGCCGCTGTCCGGGCAAAATTTCCCTCATAGCACACTGTATGGCGTATGCCCGTCTTCATTAGCCCAGTTCGGAGCAAAACAGTAGGACGTTAAACTCCATTTCATTTCATTTCATTTCTGTCATTGAGTCAAATGACATGGATTCAACTCCAAACGGGTTTTCTGGGTATTTTTACACTGCTAAAGATTGTAACCATACTTAGAATATCTAACCATTCCGTTATCGGCACGCTTAGAAATGTTAATATAACCCCATTAATGACTTGAATCACACTGACAAATTCTGTCAATTACCAAACAGGAAGATAATGAAGAGAGTATTCCTTCCGCTTATCAAGTGCTATAAAATGTTCAACACTTTAATGTTTAAAAAATTAATTCACATACATAGCAATATGACAATAACATAGGAAAATCAAAATACAAGTCGTTTAATCAATTTATTTATATATTTTGAAGAATACTAATGTTTATTATTCAGAGAAAATGCTGCAAAGCAAGAATTGTTTGTGGCATGGAATTATTGTGACCACTTTCCGTTTGGATTAAAATGTGCAATTAATTTTTCGTCAAAAATAATATGAAACACAACTTTTGTTATCAGTTATTGCTTAAAACCTGCAATCTTCAAGTATATATAACATTCAAGAACTAGGTCTGATTTTCTAGAATGATCGATTGCCTTTAATAGCACATTGGCCAAAATGTCTATAATGCATCATTTCTTAAAATTACTGTAACTTGAATAATAGATGTTGTAAGAAATATCTTTTGGAATGATAGAGGAAATATTTTCTAATCGGGTATTTTTTCTCCAACTCATGTGATTAGAGACTTAATTACAAGATGTCTGAAAGAACTGTCCTGTTGTCAGACTTATCATTGATGTGTGACGCATTGGATTAATCATCTGATAACATTTCATTATTTGAACAATTAATCTTTTATACAATCTTCCACATTATACAGGTTCCATGTACATATAATCTAATTATAGTATCAATTTATGGTCTGGGAAAATTGGAATGATGATACGGTTATGAATGCAGTGTTTAATGTCTCGTCAATTCTTCATTTGCACGCTAAGCAAGCTCTTCATCACTAGAAACTAACGATTCCTGGTCATCTTTAGGACAAAATGAATTAGAATGGTTCCAAGTTATTGATATTTGAGGCTCTTCAGATCCATTGAGCCATTTGGGATTGCATTGAATACAAAAATTAGGTAGAACTCTTATAATAGCATTAATAAAAAATAGTTAGCTTTGACAAAATGTTTGTATGCTGGTAGAAAATGACAGATTAGTAGTCTATTATCTTATGAAATTTGTAACCAATACAAAACATAAGTTAATGTTTTTAAAACCAGAAATGAAATGAAATTGGGTTTTACATCTTACTTTTCTGCACAGGGCTAATGAAGATAGACATATGCCATATATAGTGTGCTATGAGGGAAATTTAGTCCAGACAGTGGTGCTTTTACCTACTCTTATTTCGAATTCCAACTGTCAAGGGTTCTTTTAGGTGCACACCAATGTGTACACAGGACCTTGGTTTTCCGTACCATCCAAACAACTACACACTGTTCCTTGCCCGACTCTCCATCCTACTCCACTGACAAGAGAAATCAAGAGGACATTTTTCAGCTAACACTGTGAGCGAACCCAAGACCTCCTGGTTATTGATCCAGTACCTTATTCACTGAGCCACTGTGGATCCTTTTTAAAACAGAAATCCTGATGAAAAGTATTTAATGTTGGTAGCAATGGCTATGTGATATATGGCCATTAGAATAGTTGGCATGACAACTAAAATAAAAGACAAACAATGATTGAAAGATTTATAAGTCTACTAAGACATATCTACTCTACAATTGTTAGCATTCAATTATCTGTGTGAGGGAGCAAATGGCGCCCTTGATACTATAATGAATACTATTTTCTCACTTACAAATCTCTCTATAGACTACATTCTATGGTTAAATCTACATCTAGTTATACAGCTAGAACCATGATGTTTAACATCTGAACATATAAACAACATTTGGTTCAACTTGAGCATCATGTAATATTATGAATTGCGGTCATAATAATTCTTATGAGCAGACCTGAAAACTATGTCGGGCATAAAAATATTAAATAAAATATTGTGGTCTCCAGGTTGTTTTTAAATTCTCCTTATTGCAGATAAACCCTAACCTATGGAGCCTTTGTCTTTGAAATATTATCATTTAACCATAGTCATAACATGTGCAGAATGACTCAACTGTCGCCAATATCCCACCAAGCAGAAACCAGCAAATGTCCACTCATTTCATTCTATAACAATTGACTCAGTGTGATAGGGCCCTGGGGTCAATTATAATGAAGTGCGTGTAGGGTATGACCATCATCACCCAGGCAGTGGTTAATATACCCTAGGGGGCAAATCTGGTTTTACACTTCTGTGTTTTACTGGAATTAGCTGTTAATTTTAACACACTGCTCGATTGATATTAGGTCTAACAATATTAGAGTAATAGAGAAGGAAGATAATAGTAGTAGAATGATATAGATCACTATCATAATAGCTTCACCATACCTATTCTATTGACAAAGAAAACACTTGTTTGTGCTGATTTTGAAGGAAGCTCTCTAACTTT